CAAAAACCTTCGCAAAACACCACAAAACACACCACAAGCCTCACCGAACGTCTCCTTGCTACCGTGACCTCGCCCACAGGAAGCCGCGACCACGCGGCAGCAGGGAAAATTGCCGCGGAACCGGTTCGTTAGTCAAGGCGAATTTGGAACCCCAGGTGAATTTTTCCTGCCGAAGCTGGTCGTAACCCGAAATGTTCGTTAGTAGAGGCGTTCATAACCCGAGGTACCACTGTAGTTGTGTTTGACAGGGAAACTGCAAGTTATTCATAAATGGCAAAAAAATTAGAGCAACTAGCTTCTGTTCTTTATGTAGAATGCCTTGGTGGATGGGGGAAGGAAGGTAAATACTGAATTCCTTGGTGTCTTCCATCCATTAATCAGGCCTGACTCTGCTTAGCTTCTGAGTCTACATTAAGTCAGCTATCGCCTGGTGCCTGCTGCAACAAAACGTCATCAAATCAAGCTGCTAGACTAATGTTTCCCACTTTGTTCTATTTTCTTCCAAATCAGTTTGACCAAAGCATGGAACCCGTACTAGAGCTTCCAAAACAATTGGAAGAGAAAACAGATTCACCAGATGAGCATGGAAGCCAGGATCCAATTCTTCCCGAAGGAGGCAATGTGATGGCAATCAAAGAGCAGCCTTCTCATTGTAGTGAAGAGTATTCGTGCCAGCAGCTGTCCTTTCTAAAGGAGACCCTGGACAGACAGGTCTTGGAGTATGTGGAGGTGGCTCTTTTCCTGAGTCCAGAAGAACAGCAGAGGCGACTGCTTGCCATTTTGACCATCTTTCTGAAGGTTAGTTGGATCTCACATCATTGGATATTTCCAGTAGGAGGAAGCCCCGCTGATATCCATAGGAGAAAAAAAGATAACAGAAAGGAAACAGCATACCTGAAAAAGTATCGGGGAGGAGTTATTTTACTTCCATTCAGAAACAGCAGCAGGTTTCAAGTTGTGAGTCAACAGCATTCAGCTGATTGTTTAAGAACTGCCTGACAGGACAGTGATACCCAGAAGGAACATTGGAAGTCTTGGAAATGTTTAACAGAGAGAGAGGAGACTAAAGCTGGTTGAAATAGCATTGCAGAATTTCTTTAAATATCTTTCATTTCCACTGTACAGTTTTGATCTCTCATCTCTACTTTTGATATTTCATTAATTTTTTATTGGTTTACCTTAAAAAAAGAGCAACGTCCAGGTTTCTAAACAGAATATGCCTATGTAAAATGATTTAGAGTTACTTCACCAGTGATTTGTGCCATGGAAGTCTTGTGGTTTGCTTTGCTGAAGGGAAGCCATGCCCTAATTCCCTCCAGAGGAGCAATTCCAGTCGCCTCAAACAGCTGAGGGTGACGCTGCAGGAGAAAGCCTTTCCCAGCATTCTCTCCAGCCCTGGTCAAACTACTTCCAGGATGGGCACTTTGCTCCAACATGTGCTAGAGCCGTTCTGCCTCTATGCTCAGGGTATGCTGAGGGGACCCTCGGCTGGCTGGCGAGGCACTGTGGGATTGCCAGAGCCACCCACCCTGGAAGATTTCTGGTGCTGGAAGATTTGGGAAAACATTCTGGAGGACACGTGCCTCCTTTGCAGCACTCACGGTTGGACCTGAAATGAAGATTCCCAGCTTTTCATTGTATTGGCTCAGCCGTTCCACTGCAGTAATTCTTAACATGGCAGTTGACTACTTCACAATATTCCCTCCTGCCTGACTCTCTCTTACTAAGTGATTCATCTAGTCAAAGTTTCGATTCATATAGCAGGGAGAAATAAAAGTGGGTTGCTGCACTTGCATGTCACATTGTTCCTCCTATCGGTTTTATTTTAAAATTGCCCATTATAGTCTCTTCCAACCTGGTTTTCACCTTGTCCATTGAAAAAACTTCTGTCTGCAAAGTTGGCCAGATTTATAGATGAAGAAGAGTCATAACCCAGTCAAACCAAGTCACTGTTAAATTTCATTCCCAAAGTAACAGTCTTCTGTCTTCTAAGATATTTTCACTCATTTTTGTAGTATCTGCAATTTTTCCAAACATTTTATTCACCTCTATTCAAATTGTTAGAGGACTCACAACTGATGTTTGTGCAATTCAGTGAGAAATCATTGATAAGCCCTTTTGGAGATAGATTTTCAAGTCAGCTACATATGTACTTAAGTGCCATGGTTATAAACTTAATTTTTTATCAATTGTTCTTTAGATTGATTTGGGGATAACAGTATGATTATGGAGGCTAACTTACTGAGGATCATGCAAACTCAGTTTAATAACACCACTGAGGCAAATGGTTCCACGGTTCAGATGGAGCTGAACAGGGGTTGCTGTTAAGTGTTCATTACACAATATAGTAATGTTGCTTAGCTGGAGCTGCTAATTAGCAATGAAGGAGCAATGTGCACCACAGTCTCCCTAAGCTTTGCTTTGCTAGCAATCACTGACTAACTTCCAGGTCCTTATTTACACAAGAGTTTTAAGCAGAGTTCCTTAAATTCAGGATACACCTAATGTAATGCTGCACCTAAATGGCAGCCCAGAAATTCTTCATGTTACCATCATACCAGAATATTCTCCTCTTTAAAATAAACAACAGTTCTCTAACAAAGATTAGCCAGTTCATTGATTCCCCAGTTTCTCCTTATAAGTTTCCCTTCCCACCCCCACCCCCCGCAAGAAGTAACAAAGCAAGAGCTTACTGTTGCTTTTAAAAAGAGCTGTTTTGCTATTTAGTGAAAGGATTTGATTCTTTTAAGTTCAGTGAGAAGAGAATAGCTGAACATTTGTCGGGCACGGGGAGCTTGCAATGGAAGAGTTAGGATGGACAAAGAGGCCTTAATCTGGAGGCATCTTTAAGGTACCAAAGGTTCTTTGTTGTTCCAAAGTGGTGTGCACAAAATAGCAAAATGAAACCCCAAATTTGAGAAAATGGAAGCGTCAGGCAAAAAATGGCCTTGTGACTTCCCCCTGGCCCTGGCATGGAATGGAAATCCTTGAGCTGGTATTCCCCCCACCCCTCTGGCACTCACACACATGAATTGATGCACCAGACCCTTGAGCAGTCCTCTGTGAATGGGAGGCAGCACTGCTACAGCTGGGAGTCCCCTTTTTTAATTTAAAAAATGCCTTGGGAAAGTACAGGGTGTTTGGCCAACAATGTCATCAAGTTACCAGTGTGAAAAGGGCCTGTTTTGGGGAGAACTGCCAATTTTGCCCCTTAATATGGGAAAAGCCTGGGAGAGATTATAAGGCTTAAGGTGTGAATTTCTTAATCACACCTTCCCATCCTTCATCACAGGCTGATTGTTTTTGCCCTGCTCATTCTAGAAGCTGGCAAAAGGGTGCTGTGGACTACTTGTGTCCCCCCCCCCTTTTTATCAGGTGCTGTTTCCCACCCACACTCCCCCAGTCTCTGGCCTCAGGGTAGCCACCTATCTGACTTAGTCAATACTCTGCTATTAGCTGTCCCCCATGGGACTAATTAGGATTTGTGGAGAATCTCCTGCTTTTGATTCTAGGAGTGCCATTTTTGGGTGACTCCATTCTGTCTAGCTGAGTGGTAGCACTTCACTGTCACTTCAGAACAAGCAAGCATTGAGAGGTGCTGCAGGGTTCAACACTCTCCCTCCTTCAGTCATCTGCTGCTTTGAGGTCAGGTATCATCAATTTGTGGATGATACCCATCTTATACATCTCGACCCCTGGCTGGCTGAGTGATGTGGTTGAAATCCTAACCCAGTACCTGGAGGCCATGTGGGTCTGGATGGGGAAGAACAGACTCAGGGTCAGTCCTGACAAGTCAGAGCGGCTATGTCTGTTTGGCGTCCCCTGGGTTGACTCTCATGGGGGCTGCAAGTCCCATTTGAGACTTGTGCACAATGTGAGGGTCCTCTTGGGCTCTCAGCTCCTGCCTGTAGAGCAGATAGGAGCTGTGGCCAAGAGAGCCTTTGCGCAGGTACATCTAGTGGGCCAGTTGTGCCCTTTCCTGGACCTTCATAGAGTCACATCACAATTGGATTACTGTAATGAGCTGCACATGGAGCTGCCCTTGAAGACTATCTGGAAGCTATAGCTGGTCCAGAGTGCAGCAGCGCAGGCAGTGATGGGGCATTTGTGAACTGCACTGGTGGCCAGTTGGCCCCTGGGTGCAGTTCAAGTGCTAGTTATCACCTTTAAAGCCCTTCATAGCATGGGTCTGTCTATCTGAGGAATCACTTGTCTCTAGTTGTCTCAGACTGTCTGATTTGGTCCAGGAGGGTGGGTACACGACCCATCAATTAAAGAATGTCATCTTGCAAGACCTAGGAAGTGCGCCTACTCTGTTGTAATTCCTGCCCCCTGGAATGATCTTACCCCAAAGATTCAGATGGCTTCTATTCTTATGTCATTCAGATAACTACTGAAGACCAGGCTGGGGGAACAGGGTGATTCTGACACCTTCTTTGTTTTGCCTAGTTTTGTTTTATTTTGATTTGATCTGTGATGATTTGGTTTTGGTATTTGCTGTTCTGGTCAGTTGTATTTTTATATGGGTGGCATACAATGAAAAATCAACATATACTGTAAAAATACAACTGACCAGAACAGCAGTATTGGGAGTCAGTGGTCTATAAATTAAATAAATAAATATGTTAGGGCAAATTTTAGTTAGCACCCAATGTATATGGAGGTACCTCATTGCATGTCTCTTTTCTTTTTATTGTCGCCCAGTTCAAGGGTGTTTGATAGATGCCCTCCTTGTAAGCTGCAGATCCCTAAAGGTTATAAAGAAGGATGGGGCCTCCTCAGCTTGCCTTTAAGTTGAGAAGGCACTGAAGGTAGAAATGACCCAGGGTGCTGAACCTGTCCAGAGTAGGGATGTCTAGGTGAAGATGAGAGCTGTGGTTACCACAGTTGGCTTTTCTAGTTCTAGGAGGGCCCACACTGGAAGGTGGTTGGGAATGCAGTAGTTGTTAAAAAGTCATATATTCCTCAAAGAAAGACAATTCTGAATTTAAGAAGATTCAAGCTAAGAACAAAAATTATTCAGGAAAAAAAAATCATTTTGGTATGGGAAATCAGCAAGTCAATGCATTTAATATCAAATAGAGACTTTTTTTTATAATTTGTTTTAGGCCTGGGAACAGTCAGATGGCAGTATCTATTTCCCAAATATCCAGCTTTTAGCAAGTGAAACTTCCAGTCTTCTGGTGAAAGAAATCAAGAAGAAAATGAATGGAAATCCAGCAGGTGAACCTGACTTCAGAGCATCTCTCTTTATGCATTTAACCTGCAACCCCTCTCCCCATTTTCCAATTTATCCTGCCATTGAAAAGATTTGTGTCAGCTGGTTCCAGCAGAAATCAGAAACTCTTACTTTTCTAGTCCTGTTCAGTCCAGTCCAGGATACTAGTCCATTCCTTTAAGGTATGATACAATGAACACTGTGGATAAAGAATGGAAGAATTCTATAAAAATAGTAAGTGGTCACAGACTAATAGCTGGAATTGGGCAAGAAGATTAATACTAGGTAAAACTGCAGGGAAAATGCCTGAAGTCGGCAAGGAGCCAGAACACTATGCTGCTTTCATGGAACTGCTTTAATTTAGTAGCTGCTTTATACAGTAGTTATTTCTAGTATATTGTACGGATTTCTATATAGTTGGTTGTAAACACACATATAGAGTAATAATGTTCTGCAGCAATGTTGTGCTTCATCTTTGTCTGAAGTGTGCCTCCACTGGTACCTCCATCATCAGCTAATCCTCTTGTTCCTTTCTTGAATGGTGTGAATATTGGCTATCACAAGAACAGAAGAAGCTCAACTGCTTGTGTGGCAATTTCTGCAGTGGAAGGCAGACCTGGATTCTGATGGCTACCTGCTGCTAAAATCAATTTACTTGCTTTCACTCTACACTTCGGTAAGAGAAAGATCTTCTGTCTCTTTCATGCATTCCAGTTCAAGGCATTGGCATCAATGCTGCCTGAATTCCATTCACTCTTCTGAGTCAAATCAAATCAGATATTTATTATGGTCATAGACCAGCATAAGGAGGGTGGGGTACAGTCAATTAAAAAGCATAGAAGATACACCAGAGTCTAAAAAAAATTATGAAAAGCTAGAAGATAGCAAAAATATATGTATTAAAACAAAGTATATATAAAAAACAAGACTCTAAAAGAATCTGAAAGGAGGGGTAGGAGCATTAGATGGGTGTAGGGGAACAAAAAAAAAGATGGGTGTATGTGGAAGACCATATCTATCAAATTATAGAGCACTCTAGTATGATGAACTAGATGCTCATTCAGTTTAGTTTATGACACAGGTTGTCATCTGGCAAGTTTTAAGCACTGCCTGTGCAGAACCTGGCAACATTGTATGTTGTAGCAGGGTTGGTACCTGAAAGCAGCAGGGAGGTGTAGAATTGTCCTGTGTGCCCTGGGTATTTATGCAGTAATGGTGAGATAAGGCTGCTATGAATGTCTCTGTAATACAGGCCCTGGAGAAGCACATGCACTGTTGTTTCTGTGTGTCCAGAGTCACAGGGGCATTGTCTCTCTGGGTAAGGAATCTTCCTGTATTGACCTTCAAGGACAGCTGAGGGGAGGGCATGACATTGTGCCAGGGTAAAGGCCTTCCACACTTGAGTTTACTTAAGGGGAGGCAGAGTACCTGTTGAATTCACTGGCAATGAAGGTTGGGGACCTGGCTAGATCCAGTTGGGGTTCTATGTCTGCTACACACTGTTTAATGAGTGCTTTGGCCTGGTCATATCCCATGCTGAGTAGAAGACCTGGAGAGAAGCCAAGGGATAAGATTTTAGTTGCTACTGCCTATTTCCATACGGACTGAAGATAATCCCTTTTAATGGGGCAAGGCCAAAGGGAAAAAAGGATAGTCTGAGCCAATAGTTGAGTATGGTTACCCACACTCTAGCCTCCACTTTCATGAGGCCTGTCTCTAGTCTCAGGGTGCCATTAAAGACACATTTTGGGACTTGAAGGGCTGATCTTAGAAATTTAGATTGTACAAGTTCTAATGGTGCAAACTTGGAGAAGGGGCCCAGCTGGGCACCATAAAGAAGTTGTGCTATTGGCTTGGCTTCAAATTATTTGAGTGCTGCAGGATTATTTATTTATTTATTTAAATTTAGCAAATTTATATGGCCACCCCACTCACACACACTGACTTCTGGTGGCTTACAGAGTAAAATCCCCAATACCATTGCTAGAGAGTTGAGGGAGGCAATCTGGAAATGATCAGGCATTTCCACATCATGAAGGAGCTTTAAGCACCAGTTGTCCAAATTACTTTGACCTTCCTGTCAGTTTTGGAGGATTAGAGAATCTGATGATCACCAAGTCACAGCAGTTTAAACACTTTGCATGAAGGTACAAAACTTTTAAGATCATGATATGTGATTTTTTTTTTGCCCATATATAAATATGATTTTTAAAATTCTAGACTGTTTTGGATTCTTGTCGTAATGAAGCTCGTATGGTGACTTGCAATGTTTAGACACTCAGAATACTGAACAAGTTGCAGGCCAGCATTTCTAAGAAGGAGAAGCTGCTAGTTTGGTGTGGAACAAAAAGTCAGATAAGTAGGGACAGGAAACCCAGAAGCAAAGAGAGAAGAACAGGCAAGTAATGGAAGAAAGGACCCTGAACAGAGAGAAGTAGGTGGAGACCAAACTTTGGAAAAGGTGCCAAAGGAAAGATTGCAAGAGGAGATCAATAAGAAAAGCAATTAACTATAAAGTTTAATTCAGAACAGTTAACTTTTTCTCATCAATCTTGTTTTTTTCCACTAAAAAGAATGCTCTCTGGACAGATTCTGAAATAAGGATCAAACATATTTATTTTCTCTTGGGCAGGAACAGGAACTCCAGTGGAATATAATCAAATCTGGGTTGCCTGTGACATTGCTGCAGTGCCTATACCTCTTCTTTGTTTTTCCCCTGGAAGTAGCTCCTGGCTACAGTGAGGAAAATCAAGGCAAATGGGAGACCCAAGAAATGTTTGTGCAGGTTGGTGGTATCTAGACTTTGAAGGAAGTCTAAAGTCTAAAGAAAATAGCTTGAAACCAGAAGGTTGTTCTTCCTTTTTTTAAGTCCAGAATATGCTTGGTAAGTTTTATATGAGTCATACAGTTGTGTTGTTGTTCTTGTTTGCTTTTAGACAATGGTCAACATTTATGCAGAAAAACAAGGAGTGGAGATGCTTCTCATGTCTAGTCATCTTAAATCTTTGATCATAGCAAGATCCTCTCTCTGGGATCAAGGCAGCCGATCTTGGAAACAACCTACAAGCCAAGTGCTCCAAACAATTTCAAAGGCCCTTTCCAAGACCACAGTTTCATACCTGCAAGGTAAGTTGCTCTAATTTCCCCTGTCCCCAGTTCAAATTCCTCAATGAAGTTCCTGATCCTTCCTCATAGCAGACAGCACGCTTAATGAGCCAATGGGTCTTGTCAGGATTCTTCATAATCACCAATGACTCTTTGTCTTCTAAGAGAGCACAGTGGCATCCCCTCTCTTCATTATGAATCCTGTCTCTGTTCTGCAGTATCTGTTTTTCTTTCCTTAAATGCTCAGGACCTATTTTATTTACAAGTGCCTGATAACTATTTCTAAATTTTCTGTCAAATTATCTTCTATAGCTTTTGCTTGTGGCTGTTACTTTCATCCACTGTCAATGCTCCTCTGTTGGACTATATTCCATATGGAAGTTGCTTCCATTAGCAGCTTCTGGTGGTAGGAAACTGTTCTTTGAACTGATAAAACTTTTTTTTTTCTTATCAGCTGAAATGTGGCCATTCTTGGTGGCCATTTTCTTCAATGACTATTACAAGCTTGCAGGCCACAATTGCAGACTCTTGTATGTTCATCTTCACTCTTCTTAGCCTAGCCTGGTCTGCCACGCTGTGTGAATTCATCCAGTGGATGGCAGAAGTTTGTTAAGCCTGCTGCCACCTCAGGTGAACAGCTGACAAGTTGGTGCATAGTTTTTCTCTAGCCTCATGCTGCTGTCCAACTTTTAATATAGTTCTGATTAGATTAATCCAGTTTGAGTAATCCAATAGGATGCTGGAATAAATGGACCTTTGACTTGATCCAATAAGGCTCTACTTATGTTCTTACACTTATCCTTTCTTGATTTAAAAATTATTTTACTAAGGGTTTAGAGGATGTTGATTATATTTTGGTATGTATGAAGCTCAAAATAAACAAATCTTATGGTGCCAGAAGAGTAAAGATAAATATCTATAAAATGGAGTGATGATGATTATAATCTTACATATGGTGGTTACTCATTACATGTAATACTTTTATATCTACAGACTGCATCAAAACGTCTATCCATAATTTGTCAAAGCTTGATGAAACCTTGACCACTTGTGATGTATGTGAATCCATCAATATCATCCTGCATTTTGTGAGGAATTCATATCTAATTTCTCCAGCCTTGCTTTTGGAGTTTGAGAACAATGGGGGCCATCAGCTGCTGTTGAACATTTTTCTAAGGCAAGTCAACGAATAGCATGGTGGCTGCCAAGAATTGATGCTGACAGATTGTCTTGTTTGATAAAATTTTGTTTTCAATTACCTTCTAAATGCACATTTCTTTCCAATGATGGAATTTAAAATAAGTGTTAAACCATACTGGACTAAGAGTACAATGACATGTTGCATCTGAGTTGCAGATTATCCAGTTTTCTAGTATGGACGTTTCCTTTAAACTCTGGAAAATGTAATTGTATTCTTCAGTGATAGACAAAAGTAACTTTTTATCTCACATTTCTTACAAACATAAATGCAAAGCTTGTGCCATTTTCTAGGCACGTTTATCAAGTTTAGGACAGAACACAATAATCCATAGTATCAATAGATCAACAACTGTAGACTCATCCTTGCTAAGGATGAGCAGTGCAAACTGTGAGCCTTTCCCATCCCCTCCTGGTAAACTTTCCTAATACAGTACTGTTGCTTCTCCCCATTAATGGCACTGGGAAATCAGAGAATCTGAGCAGAATCACTTTGAGGGGAAAACTTAACCCTTCTTCCGTTCCAAAAATCACTTCAGGAGGACATCAACTCTTTTCCAAAACCCAGCTGCTGACAGCTGAGGAGAAACAGGTATTCTCCTGGGGCTTCACAGACGCAAATAAAATGGCATGGGCTGCGTGTAGTATGCAGCGGTGGGTTGTCCATCTGCAGTGATTACCCTGCCCTATTCAACCCCACATTTCCAAGTCCCTGTTTCAGTTTTGGACTTGGCGTTTTATCATTTATGGATCAATACGCCCAAGGCCAAGCTTCTGCTTCTTCTTTCCAATCCCTACTCCTCTCTTAGACTGTTCTTATTAATGTCTTCAGAACCTTGCAATCAAACACAGAACTGTTTTTTCCTTATGGCTCTTCTCTGCTTTCTTTGATTTTACCAAGCCCATCAATTCACCTCTCCTTGTACTATAGCATTGTACTATTGTACTATAGCATTCCTCTTCAGACTTCATGCTCCAGTAATTTCTTATATTGCCTGTTGCCTTGGCCCTTCTTAAATCTCCCACCAGTCTCCTGATATTTATTAGATACTCAGATATCAACATTGTCTAACAGTCTTATTACTCTGTTGATGCCAGTCTAGCCATGAATCTTGCAAATGCTTCTTATTCTTACTTTTAAAAGCTGAAGGCTTTGTCCTGTTGAATAGCTCAACCCTTCCCTATCTATGAACTTTTAGTTTCACTAACTCTGTGGATGAATCCCCTTAGTCATTTCCCCTGCACTTGCAATGGGCTGATGGTCATTCCACCAAACACTAGTTCCAAGCTATTTGATCTCCCTTCCCCCAACAACAGAGGGAATACAGCCAGCAACATAGTCAGAATATCCTGCTGAGAGATCCAAAAGAATCGACTTGCTGTATTCCTCCTATGTCTATCTAAAAATAACCAATAAAGGATGTTGTTTTGGTGTTCTATTCAGACAGACAGCATCATTTGGTGGAAAGTAACTCATGCTTAAGCTCCCACTTGAGCTTCCATTTTAAGATAACAGTACCTCAGATTGTGAACTTGGTTTTTAAGGGGAAGTGACCCTATCTGGACAGATTGAATAACAACTCTCTGGAAAAAAAATACCCTCCACTTCCTCTTGCGTGCATTGAGCTTCAACACGTAGCTCTCATCTGATCCATTACCAGTTCCCAGCATCTGTTCAATACTGAGGTAAAGAAGAAAGAATTGAGGGCCTATAGCATAGTGATGATACTTGATAGGGAATGATAGCATATGGAATAGCATCAAACTATTGAACTGTATGTTTTATAAATAATGGACAGAATGCCATTCAGGACTTTCTTCTAGTGCCTTTGTAAAATGGGGAGACCATGAGCTGTAGTCTTGCTTTAGGCACAAAGCCAGCTGGGTGACTTTGGGCCAGTCACATTTCTCAGCCCTAGGAAGGAGGGAATGGCAAACCACTTCCAAAAAACCTTGCTGAGAAAACTGCAGGGACTTGTCCAACAGTCGCCAGGAGTCAAAAACTGACTCGAAGGCACAACATTTATGTATGTATGTATGTATGTATGTATGTATGTATGTATGTAAAATAATCTCTGGGAGAGCCTCTTTGGTGCAGTGGTTAAAGGCACCAGGCTATAAACTAGACCATGAGTTCTGGTCCTGCCTTAAACACAAAATCAGCTGGGTGACTTTGGGCCAGTCCCTCTCTCTCAGCCCTAGGAAGGAGGAGGCAAGGGCAAACCACTTCTGAAAAATGTTGGCAGCAAAATTGGATGGACCTGTCCAGGCAATTGTCAGGAATCAAGACTGACTCAAAGCACCCCCCCCCCAAATCTCTAAGGATATTTATGCAAACCATTTGACATCAGTATGCAGGTGAGTTCAGCAATTTGGTCTAAAGCACAATGTGTTTCAACATTCGAGGTGTTGCTTAGGGCATCTGAAACTGCCCATCAGAGTTGCTCTTACAGTCATGGGTTCCATGTTGGAACTAAGACAGCAAGGTCTATGGTACATCAAAGTGCACTTTCTATGTAACTTTACATTTCAGCCAATAGGCAAGCTCACTGGAATCCAAGAAGTTCTGATAAGTAGTATTTATTGAGGAAAGTTAGGGAGCCATAATGAAAGAATTCTGGTGACTGCTATGTTTCAAGAGCAAGTCCCATTTATAGAATCAATATTTAACCCCATTGGTGCCTTTTTCTCTTTCCCACCTAACCTAATGGGTTGCTTAGATTCCTCTTTTAGGTGGGAGGTTTTGTTTTCCATCTGTATCTTGTTTTTTGCAACAATCAGATCTGCTATCATACTGTTTCTCTCTGATTGTATGTGAACTAACTCTCCCACCAACTGAGTCTTCCAGTTGTGTTTCCAGATATGAAGGGCCACTGGACAACAAAGAAAATGCCAGCATTAAAGAAACACTAGACTTACTGACACAATTGACACTTTGTGGGGAAACTGAATTGAACGTTTCAGGCAATGTTGCATATCCACAACTGCCACAATTTAATGAGAAACTGCCACAATTTAAAGAGGAGCAGCTCCTTTCTTCTGGTAAGTAACTGTAGGTATCAGTGAGTTAGGACATTAAATCCATGGCATACAAATGTAATAAAATATGCCTAATGGAGGATTTTAATATAGCCTAATAAATTAATCCCTGCCAATAATGCAGGGATTAAAAACTAAACAATCATTTTTGTTGGTCATAATTCTATTTTCATCTGATAAAGATTTATGTAATGATACTGTGTGTTGTTAGGTTCACTGACCACAAACATGGCTATTCAGGAAATGTAATATAATTTTGTTTCAAGGTAATTTGTTTTTTACATTTACCTTTTCTGGTTTGATTGGTCCTTCTAAAATGGAAATTAAAAGCTGAATGCATTAGGATAGACTGAGCAGAGCATTATTGTATTATAAAAAAGTGGTAATAAATGAAAATGATTACTCTGCCTTGAGTGTTTATAAAAGCAAAAAATGGGATATAAATTAGATAAAACAATAAAAGTATCTTTTATCTCTGTCACCAGTACACCATGTACAAACATACTTCTGACTAAAGATTTTCAAATTCAATGAAATTCTTCTTGTACATGTTTAATGCCTTTAAAAAAATAAGATTATCATGCAATTGAACAACAGTTTATAGAACTAGATTGTATTTATTGAACATGGTAAGAGCCCATAGTAAATTGCAAAGTTACTTTTCTTTTTCCTACTGGGCCTAACGTAGGAGATGGTGTATAATTGTTTTTCACACTACGTTTAAAGAGAATCTGGACTGAGTGTAGTATGTCCAAAGGGTGACCAAGATAGAGGTAATGAGGAACCCTTGAAAAAGATATGCAAGTTTCACCTGGAGAAGATTAAGGGTGGCTATCAGAAGCGCCACATGGAAGACAGACAATACTTGTTTTCTGTTCTAGAGAGCTATACTAAAACAAACAGCCTCAAGATAATACATTTGCCTAGACACTTACCACAAGGAAGGGAGCAACAATGATTTTAAAATATCACAGAAATTGTTGATGGAATTATTGTTTCCACAGGAAAAAGAATAAGGAATCTGAAAGCTTTCCAAGTACTAGAATCCCTTTTTCGGAAATCCAACAACCCAAAGCTCTGTCAATACATTTTGCTTGTACTAAAATCAATCTGGACCTGGGACTCCATGAATTTCTTCCTACTTGAGTGGTCTCTGCAGCCCATCTGCCAGTTTGTTGGGGTCATCCCTCTCAAGACTTTCCTAGTCCAGACTCAGTTCTTCCAGCTGGTGGAGTCAGTGGTGGTGGACCTCTATTATATCCCACATGACATCTTAAAGGAGATTCAGTGTTTGATAAAGGAGAATGCTGAGCCATTATGCACATCAGTTGCCTTGCGCTGCCTTCATAGCATCACACAGAGAGACCCGCTCTTTACAGATATCTTCAGAGATTCAGGACTTTTAGGAATGCTGCTTGTGCAGTTGCGTAAAGAAGCCAAAATACTGATAAAGAAAGGTATCATATATATTTAATAAATATATGCTTTTCTAAACCTCTTCTAAGCTATTCATGTTGGGAATGTATTGCCAGCAATCCCAGCCCTTTCTCTGGTTGCCTAGGGTGTAATAGTCCCATCTGAAATTTATATTTGCTTTGATTCCAAATTTAGCTGCAACTTACATCTAGACAGTTTGTCATATAGAATGCACTGCTTTCTTCCTGCTGGATATTCTTTTAGTGCCAGCAGATGTTGACACTGTTCCAGCTTTTTAGGAGAATGAAACATTTGCTCAGAGAAACTCTTACTTTCCTCTCCTCTCCCTCTACCGTATATAAAAACAGCTTTCTGTCAGGAGCTAATCTTAGATTTTACCTGCTCAAAGCTTCATTGGATCCTTTTTTTCTTCATCATACTTTTGTTATTTTCCTCAAACCCACCCCCCTCTTATAGGTTCCATTTTAGCTTCCTCCCAATCTCTTTAACCAAGTCCTGTCATTTCCTTTTTTTCACACCTATCCTATTCAGCTTCCAAAGCTCCTGCATCTTCTCATCTCCCTGAGATAGCAGGTCAAGTGAACTCTGTCATTTTAAGAATTTATTTTCCTGTGTGTAGAAATGACAACCATCCATACTCAGTATTACTCCTGAGGAAATTGATCGGGTTTCTTGTTTTGTAGGTAGCACTCAAGCAACTTTGCAAGTGTCAGAAGTGGAAGAACTCCTCAAAATGATGCTGAAAATGACAGCTGCTCTTGTTGTGGGATCTGTTAGGAACACAGGTAAAAAAAAAAAACATCAACTCAGCTTCATTGGCCACAACATAATGATTCAGAATATGATTTTTAGGAAACTTTGTCAACTGCTTCCTCTATTAAGCCTGAAGTGAGAGGATAGTTCAATTACCTGGTAGATATCTGGTTTTCTATCCTTGCCACTGATCTGGCCTGTGGAGGACTCACGATTCAGGCAACTCTCCATGAATATAACAATTGGCTGTGGGAAAGAAAGAGAGAGAGGCAACATTTTCCCACGTTTTCTAAAGACAATTCCTGACAGGTGTAGGGACATTGGGACTGGCTATGGATTCAAAAAAATCTTACAATTTTAGAGAAGCTTTAAGCAATTACAAATTAATCTGTGCACCATAAAGCATGGAAATGTCTTTAGAATTCCACAGAGGAGAAGCAATTACTTTTCCTCTTTCATGGAATTTGAAGAAGGGCCAGATAACAGAATGCTACTCCTGTCTCTGTTTGTAACCTTCATTTCCCACCATTTTCCTACCTTTCTTAATCAGAGAAAAATGGTTCAAAGTGGGATAGGATTGAAAACATGTTCATGGAAGCATCTCGCATGTTGCGCTCACAGCCTAATTTTTATGGGTCAATATTTCTCTTTGTATTTCACTCTCAGCCCCGTCCCTTTTGTATGCTGGATGAACAGTTAAAATTTAGGATGCTTATTGTGGTTGTAAATGCTTATTATGTACTGTATATATTTACCTCTTAACATAAATATGGCAGATAGCGTGTAACTATTTTTATGCAACCTGTTTTTTTTTCTCAACATCCACACACACGTGTGTATGTGTGTATGTATGCGTGTGTGTATATGTCTGTCTGTCTGTCTGTCTGTCAATCAATCAATCAATCAATCAATCAAGGAGCTTAAGTGCCTCTGAAGAAATCTAATCCATAAAAAATATGTCATAAATAAATAAATAGTTAGTCTTTATTCTATAAAACTGTTGCTTATACGTGGCGCAACAGTTTAATGTGTCTAGTCTTCAGGAAATGTGCCTAGCTCTCAATTCTGGATACCATGAGCTGCAACAGAACTTCTAGTTTCACCATATATTTTCCTTCAGATTTAAAAGCATGACAAAAATTATAAACAAGGTAAATGGAGGGCCCAATACCTAAGACTGTTGCCATGGTAACAGGACCAAACCATCCATGAGACGCCTCCTCTGATGCAGAAGGTTTCTGCCTACCTGGCCTGATACCCAATGTCTCAACTAAGAGAGCAAAGCACTGGATCAGCACCAATTAGGACATTAGAATGGCTGTGACAGGTACCTTCAGAGGTGCATTCCTGGGTTTCAGTGGAAAGAGTTCAGAGTGAGATATGAAGGCAGGCATGGCTCCAAAGAATCGTTAGGACCCTGCAGCTACTCTGGAAGGATTTAGAGGTGGCCCTCTGGCCACAGCAGCATATGTGATCTCCACAGCAACATCAGCCACGATGCCTTACTCCAAGGAGGAAATACTTAGAGCAAGAGATTAGGAGGGAGGATGGCAGGGGTACAGAGGTACCCATTTCTTTTCTCATCTCAGATGGTTGATTGATTGACACATATTAACAACACTGATTTTTCAGGGGTGGGGGAATAAATATCTTAAGATTTCACTTAAACCATGGGCTTTAGTCCTTTACTACAATGTTGCATTCATTATACTCAACCAAATTTAATTATTCTAGTAACTGGTCTAGAAACTTGGTCATATATTACAAAATACTCCATGAAATCATCAGAGTTATGTCATTAATTGACCATCCATTAAATTCTGCTTGGAGCATGGCTTAATAATAAGTTATATGTGCAATTTCAGTGATTCTCAGAGACTATGGTATGGTGCCCTATATCAAGATTTATGTGGATATTGAGTTTTATCGAAGTGATGCCTTGAATATCCTGGAACAGTTATCCATTATCAACCCTGAGGAGTACATGAGCACCATTATTGGGGCCTTGTGCTCTTCCACTCAGGGCGAACTACACTTCAAGCTGGATCTACTTAAAGTAAGGAATAGTAAATACCATATCTTTCTTGTTTATCTTTATCTGGAAATGATTAATGGTTGGGCTTTGTTTCTCTACTATGAAAGGAATCCTAGGAAAATTCTAAACTATGAAAATATAGTTACTTTGGTACATAGGGAAATAATGCATTGAAACGTATAACTGGCCACAAAACTGACTTCTCTATCTGAAGACTGAAAATACTATTGGCTATTAGGAGAAATTTCCTGATAATAAGTCATGTCAGTCAATGGAACAGGTTGCCTCATAAAGTGATAAGTTCCTCTTCACTAGAAGTCTTCCAAAAGAGGCTGGATCGGCACCTGTTCAAAATTCTTTAGCAGATCCTGTAGTGATCAGGGGTTTGGTGATGATGACTTCTCATATATCTTCCAACTCTATGAAATATGTGTACCTGTGTAGCTGGCAAGTGCTGCCCCTGAAGATATAGCCCAATAACTGATACATTTCTTGGGCTCTAAAAAGTTTCCAGCTGCTGTAATACTCAGTAACTGGCTAAAGTAGGCCAATAGTCCATTAAAAGGAACAGGGGATGAGACCTTTAAGAGTGATTATCCTTTTCAGTGGCCTTATGAACAGTCAAGATTTGGATCCAGCCCACAAGGAACCCAATCTGGCTCTTTTATAATGCCAAGTTGGCTTAAAATAAGATAGGGATGATTCATTACTTGATTGCAGATGAGACAGCAGACTTAGCTGGCATAGCATTTTTTATTTCTGTCTACCATTATCAGGAGGCAAATGCTTCCAAATATGAAATGTTGGGGAAAAAGAATATGGGGCTGCTCTTGGGGAAATTACCTACTGGTGCAATTTCTACAGGTATCCATTTGGCCATAGTGAAGAACAGCATGTTAGTCAGGAGACTCTTTGATTTGAATTGGCATATCTGTTCTTGGGCATGATAATCTTAGATCTAAGGCAGAAGCCATAGAAAGACAGAGGATGGTAACTGCTAAGTAGAACTTCGGATTTTTAATAGACTACCTTATCAGCCATATTGCACTAAAAACTTTATGTAAATGCTGTTGTTCATAACAACAGCTCGACTAGGTCATGAAGAGGGTAAGTATGTCTGGCAAAATCCAAAAGAGAATTAATTAACCAAGTAGTTAACTCTCTAAAAATTAGATTTAATTTCTCTGCTTTGGGATAAACCTAATTTTCCCCCAGTCAAGTTATGTCCCCAAAATCTTTCCTCAGGATTTATTGTACCTCTCAACCTCCATGTTCAAGACAAAGTTTTAGGGAGGATCACCAAAATGAGTCTGTTAAGCTCTTCATCTCCCCCACCCACCCCCACCCCCATGAGGAGGCAGAGATGGAAAATGAGCAGAAATTACTGAAGATGGATGTGTGGTATCAAACCTGTTGCCATCATTCTTTCTTTTTTCTTCTCTATTTCTACTGCAGCAGTGGTGAGAAGGAAATGGGATAGGAATTGCCATTTTCTCAACCTCTCACATGCTATCTGGGAGGACTGAAAAAGACTAGTAACAAGTTTGGGAAAAACTACAACACAAGAATATTTACATTCTGAACCACAAACTAGCCAACCATATTTTAGCCTGGCAATGTCTTGTAATAATTTGCAAACCCAGCCAACATTTTAAATTTATAGTTGTGTGGAAAATTGGGTTAATTCAAGAAACCATGGTTAAGTTATCAATTATATGTGTGACATAGCCCATATGATGAGGCAGCATGGCCCCCAGGAATAGAAGCACAGCTGTAACAGCCACACTAGACAATGGCACCTGTTCAGGAGTATTCGAGAGCCAGATGGTCCAGCAGGTTGGTGGAAGTAACTTAGTTTAGGTAAGTTAACCGCCCTAGAGATTGATGCTACTTTTAGTCTCTGATATCCACTGAAGGGAAAATAATTTGGACATATCATGGCAAGTCTATTTTCCTGAGGAAATGTGAAAAGAGGCAGTATCTGTCCAGAATCACTGAGAGGAATTCAACCTCCAGAATCTTTGGACAGAATAATCTGAATCTCAATGATGAGCATTTTTCTTGTATATCCCTGATTCTCTGCATTCCTTCTTTTTCCCTAGGACCACCAGAAGGCTGTAGGGAAAAAAATTAAGGCTATAGCCTTCCTGCTAGAGAGTGGAAGGAGTAACCCACTCAAGGATGCTCTCTATCCAGTGAACAGAATAAATCTACCACAGCTACAGCTAATCTAAAATTATTTCTATGGCTAAGTTTGCTGCTTGCCTAAACTGATATAAAAACTAATGCAGCTTTGATGCCTAATTCTGACAAATTATAACTATATTAATACATAATATAAGAGAATGAATTTACTAGCTGTAGCCTTTGGGATCATGATTACATTATGTTCAAATTCAGATTGATTTGCTAATTTATATTTAGCTGTTAAACCCCAAGTGCAAGTGCTAGAGAGTTCCAGAGCGGCATGCGGTAGGCAATTATGAGAAATAACGAATAAAGCCATGCAAAAATAAATTTTGTTAGCTATAACTTAGTTAGGGATTTCCACTGCAGGCAAACCTGTTACAGATTAAAGCCAGAAGAATAGACAATTAAATTGTAACAGAGTTAGAGCCAGAAGAAATGTAGTTACTACTGACCTCTCCAGATTGTGTCAAAGCCATTCTGATACATCAAGGTCCAGTTTATTAGGTTTATGCCTGTTCAGGAGCTACTGCCTGGTGTGATACATTAGCATGCAAACCGAATGGCAGTCAGTGAGCTTCCTTCCTGTGTCTCTGGCACACCCCTTTCCACTCTTAGAAGAAGGTAGATGGAAGGGAGATGGAGAGAGAGAATCACAAAGTTTGTATATGATGACATTTGGAAATCAAATCAAAAAATTACCCTTACACACAAATACACACATCACGTTCTCCTAAGCTCACAAAGGACAGTCTTTTGATGAAGTAAGCTGTAGTGCACAAAAGATTATGCCTTTTAATAAAATTGGTTAGTCTGAAAAGGTGCTGCCAGATGCCTTCTGATGAAACGCCAGTTCATTTACCCTTTTGTCTTAGTGACATGATAGGTCTAGCGTGGGGTCTGACATTGTATGGACTAAAGGTCCTGGCTACAGTGACTCATGCCATTACCATCATGCAATTAGATTACTGCAATGCACTCAATATGGGGCTGCCTTTGAAGACTATCCAGAAGCCAACATTAGTTCAAAATGCAACAGACTACTGCTTGATTGGTGCTAGCCATTACAACCATAATAAACTTATTTTACGAGCCCTAAATTGGACCCAAGGCTGGTTATCAGTTGGTTGCCAATAGGTTTCCAGGTGCAATTCAAAATGTTAGCTATTACGTATAAAACCCTACACAGCTTAGCACCTAGCTATTGCAGGACCACTTATTCTAACCAGATTCAATCCATCTGAGGAGGTCCTCCAGGGGGAAGCTGCTTGTGATGCCTAACTTCTATGAGTTGAGACCAGAGCCTGTTATTTTTCTGTCATGATGCCTATGTTATAGAATGGCATTCCACTAGAAGTTAGGCTGACCCGCTCTGTGAAGACCTGGAAACTTGTAAAGATTAATCTTTAGCATATCAGTCATCAATTCTCCATCTGAAGGGCTTGAGTCAAGACCAAGTTTTTCTACATTTGGCTGCCATTCTTTGCAAATCTTTGTATAGATAATGACATAATTCTTTTTTTTCTCCAATGCTAGTCTCTCTTGAAGACACTGGTGAATCCCAAGGGTCGTTCAGCCTTCAGAACCAGTAGTGGTTTTAATGGGCTGTTTTCCCTTCTGGCTGACATGGAAGGTGCCTTGCAGGACCCACCTTTAGGCTTATGGGCCTCATTTTGTCATAGCCACATATTAGAGCTGATACTACACATTCTCCAAACTACTGCAGCTGCTCTTTACCTGGACCCTGTCAATAGTGACTTCTTCCAGAAGAATGGTCTCTTTGAGAAGATGGCAGAAGAACTTGGCATGCTTGGCTGCTTTTCAGCACAAAGGTGGGGACAGATTCCTATATGGATCAATAAACCACGATCATTTGTTGAGATTTCAAATACAGTTATTTGCTCACCTGAACTTTTCCCAACTTGCCTAAAAAGCTGCATAAGGATATTTAGCTTCCTTGATTATATGGCCAAGATGAACCCCTTCAACTTCAAGAGCTACTTGATGGAAACAAAACAATCTGCAGATCATCACCCATTGCGCATTCAAGATGGGAAAGAAAATGAACAGGAAAATTCTCAAGTCAACTTTGAGAATATAAATTCTAACAAAATAGCTGTCAGCCAGTGGCCAGAATTCCAGAACAGGTATGTTTTTGATGATTATAATATAGAAAGTTTGAAGTACTAATTTGGGTGTCTGATTACCGTATTTCTTACAGGTCTTTCAGCCTATTTTGTCATGAGCATACACATTTATAGACCACTCCAATGTATGTTTACATAGAAGACAGGCTCAAATTATTTAATGATAGTAGCAGACCTAAGTATAATCTGTGTTAGTCACTTCTGCAATAGAAGTGGCACGATTATTTCAAGTGCAAAGGAGGTTATTGACGAATTTTCTTTGCTATCATTTGCCATTGACAGCTCCTCTTCTAAAGTATTTTCCCTCTCCTTTAGTTGGGCTTAGAGAAAAGTGGTTTGAAGAGTAATCTCAATGGAGCAAAAGGGTGGTTTGCACTTGGATTTAGATTCTGAACACCATGGAAGTTCATTCCAGTTTATGCATATTTGGACAATGTAAGTGAAGCTCCCATCAAACTACAGACGGATTGGCATTTTTTCGTAGCCTGCTGGAGCTTTCTGTCCCAGCCTGTTTGGGCAATGCTGTAGCCCATCTCTGTCCTACTACCAAAGATTCCTGCTTAGTTCTGCATAATTTAAAATAAATCGCACATGAGCATATACTGTGCTTTCTTCATGAGTCATGCTTAGAGGTATTATTTAAGGTATTATAAAGGTAGTACATATCGATCAGTTTAGCTTAAACTTGGATACTGGAAGTTCAAATTGGGTTGATTCAATCAGTTTGGGGAGAAGGTTTAGGAAAGCAAAAGGATATACAGATTGTAGATAATCTTCTTTACTGAGGTACTTCATCTTATGTATGAGCACTGAAACATCTTGACTAGGGAACGGAGTGCTGCTCCATCTTGTTGAAGAGGCCAACTTGCCTTATGAAGGTTGGCTTCTGCACATGCCCTGTGGTACTCTTGCCAAATTATGATGCAGCTGGTTCACTTCGCTAATTAGAAGGCACCAATTTGCTTCATGGAAGAGCCTTCAAGGGATGTTTTGTACAAATCTGTGTCAGATCGAAGTACTCCTTCAAAGATCTTTGGACAGTAGTGCCGACCTTTTGGGAGTGTTTTGCCCACTCAAGGGTGTGAATAATTACTGTCTGCAAATGATCATGTAGTTCTTTGTTTCAAGAACATATAAAAGTTGTCTTGATTGACAAATATGTGTGCATGTTCTGGAAATTATTCCCAGGCACTTTACACTGCGCAGAATAAATACTTTATTATCTCCACCCTGCTGCGTTTATTGGGCAAAACTGCATGCCAGGCTATAACCCCCCAGAGTTCCTGGGACAACACAGCCATTGGATGGCGCCAGCCCACTGGGAAGGAGGCCACTGATAGACCGCTGCCCAAGATGCTCCCCCACCCCCACCCCTTGCCCCAGGAACTCATTTGAGGTTCAGGCCTGGTGATCTGCCGACCACCCATCCATTCTTAGCTTGCAGACCATATAAAAACGGGCAGTGGCTGTATTTGGCCTGTAGGCCATAGTTGCCGACCCCTGATGTAGACTATAAGAACAATTAAGTCACAGTTTACCAAAAATAAAAACATTACATAATGGGATGTCTGGTCTAATTCAGCAAGTGTTTCTTTACTTGATTTTGCAAATTTCCACCTTCCAATTTTTTCTTTTTCTTCTACAAAATATAATTCATATATGCCTTGAAAACATTATGTATAATGACTAAATTGTTAAATGTCTATTTATATAAAGATAATTCCTTAACATCTCCTGTCGTTTGATGCAATTTGAATATTTTAATAAGGAAACATTCAAATACCATCCTGAAATAGAAAACTAACATTTTGTTAAAGCAACTGATAATGTTACTGGAGCATGATCAGATATTGGAATAGAATTCATATTACAATTATCAACCCAATTTACTAACGATTAGAAGACTGGAAAAAAATCCAGTCATAAATTTCATAAGGAATTATAAAAAAGTATATTCCCCATTGCGATGGATTCAAAGGTTGCCCTGTGTCCAACAAGTTAAAACCTAATAAATAGGCTTGTGATATTTCCCATGAATGCGAATTTAACTTACTTGAAATAATACTTCAATCGAGTGAAGAGTCCAGAACTAGAACTTGATTAAAATAAATTGCCATAATTATAATTACCAATTCCGAAGATTTATTAATCAGAGTATTTACCCCTTCAAATTCTGAATTACCACTGATATGTGTTTGACCTACTCATCTTGTAGATGAAAAATTGCTTTCACTGGGAGGATGAGTTTCTTTTTAAAAAAAATATTAAAAAAAATAAAAACCTGTTCCTCTTAGGATATCTAAAGCCTTTAATTTCCCTGAAATTCAGTTTAAGATGGCTTGCTAAAACATCACCCATTCCCAACTCAGTTTTTTTCAGCTATTATCAAGCGCTTATTTGAACTGAACTCTCGACTAAAGCAATTAAGTGCCCAGTAAAATGTCCAGGAATATTTTGCATAAAATATTTTGCAAAAAACGAAAGGTATCAGAACATACGTGTAAGAGGTGTGAAGGATGAAAACAAAGTGCAAACTGCAACTCTTAAATTATCTCATCACTCCAGGAGGGCTCTTAACTCTGTCAAGCACATTTAAAAAACTTTAAAAGGAACTGAGGTATTTGCAAAAAAGTTGAGAACAACACGGTAGTTTATGTTGTAATGAAACTTTATGGTCTCCTCCCAGATTTGCATTTGCCTGAAAAGGACACAGTATGTGCACACGGAGTTCAAAACGTCAGGCTTGCAACGTTGAAAAAAACCAAAGGCTATCATAATTACCTTTCTTAATGAATGAACCCGAGACAAAATGATCCTGGAAGCTTGCAAACAGAGAGAAATCAACTGGGGAGGAGACAAAGTTTTCTTTTTCGAGACATCGACCAATTTACCCTAAAAAAAAACTGCATTCAAGCCTGTAAGAGAACTGCCCATACAGATGGGGACATTATATAAACGGCCGCAAGGGATCCCGCAAAGCCCCTTCCTACCACGCACCGCTTTAGCAAACGTGCCGCGGGTCCCTCCCAGGGCCGCCCGCGGAGATTCGATCGAGCGGACGCTGCGGCAAAGGGAGCGGAGGCAGGCGGAGGGTTCCCACGGGAGTAAGAGCAAAGGGGCGGACGTAATTTCACACGTACGCACGAAAAACCCTCCTTAGGCTGCCCAGTTAAGGATCTAGCATAAAACTTTCGCTTGCGTTAAAATTAACTTCTACATACTTGCTAGCATTAGGATTAAGTGAAATGTACTTACGTGACAGAAGTAATTATTAAGGAAGAGGGAAACGGCAAGTATGGAAAAGGGTAAAGAAGCAGTTATAAGATACAGCACTTCATTGTATGGAGAGGGCGTCGAGGGCGTGGCAAGAAGGGGTTCCGAGTGATCTCTTACGAACCTTTGCAGACTTTTTTGTGATCTAAGATCGAATGGGGTGGGGAGATTAGAAATTTAAGGTTCTTGGTAGGGAAAAGATTCGTGGGTATGATAAGGCTTGGGGGTTTAGGAGGGGGAAAAAGCATGAAGAAACAAGGTTGCCGCTGGTAGAACCAACAAAAGGTTTATTCTTATAAATCCAGAATAAATATGGTTTATTTTCTAGGATGTAAGGTATTTATAGTAGTAGAAATGAAAATGAAATATGTAAAAAAAAAAATCTGTTGATAAGATGAGAAGCAATGAAAGCTGTAACATGAGACTCATAATTAAAGAGAAAAAAAGTATAGTTTTCAGATAATTTAGATTTAGAAATTAAAAAGTTGCTTGCAAAATATAGTAAAACAGGTTCTTCAAAGGTCTGTACACAGCTAGAATTGAAAACAAAAGATGCTTTAGAGGTCAATAAAATTGTAACACAGCTTTTATATTGAAAGCAAACGTATCATGTTTGATAATAAGAACTCTAAACTGTTAGCAAATAAGCCAAGGAAAAGTGATTAATAACATCAATTCAAAACTCTAAAAGTCAAATAATTACTAATACTAATAACATTACGCTGAATTTGTAAGATTTCTCAAAAAGTCCGATATTAAATGAATTATTTAGATAAATTAGAATTGTCATAATTGTCATAATTGTTAATTATCAGCATTAAATATTCAATTTCTAGATTCACCATTTACAGAATCTCAGCTAATTGCAGTTTTTCAGAATTTAAAGAATGGGCAAACACCCAGGTGGATTTACCAATCTGTTCTATAAAGGCCTGAAGGATATTTTAACATCAGAAATTTTACAGAGATGCAGCCTATTATGTAAAGGGTAGAACTTCTCTGCTTCGTGGCAAAAATCTAAAATTACACTTATTTTAAAGCCAGGAAAAAATCCATAGGTGGCTACTTCACATAGGCCTATCTTCTTATTAAATACAGAGTATAAATTATATTAGCTAATCATTCTTAATTATAAGTAGAATTAGACATACACATCAGTCTAATCCTATGTCAGCCCTCTGAGGTAGGCAAGGTCAAGAAACAGACCCTCCAGGGATTCCTCGAATGCTACTTTATTGTTGTAGGGTTTACTAATAAAAATCATGGAAGCCTGTCCAGTCTTATACTAAACAAAATCAAGATGGGATTATTCTGAGTTTCTTTCTTGTGCTTGCTTCAGCCCCTGGACTGTGTAATCTTTTCTGGAAGTCCCTCCTTAACAGTTCTTTCATACCTCCCTAAGGTCATCTCTAAATTCTTTTACACCTTATTCAGTATACTCCATTTCTGCAAAAGAAATTTAGCTCCCATAAGCATATCTTCTCTAGATATATGGGAAACTTTTGGTTGCCCAGATGGACTATTCATTAACAAAATTATAGAAATTTAAATTTGGCTCTAAATTATAAAATATGATAGACAATATTTATCAGCCTATAACAGCTCAAGTAAGAACCAGCAAGTTTGATTCAAAATAATTTATCATAACAAGAGACGTGTAGCTTTGCTTGAAAAAGTCTCTTGATTGAAATCCATTGTGTGACAAAGCAAAGTAGTGAATCACTGTCCTGTAAAGCTTAAGGGCAAATTAAAAAGTACCAGCACTGTGTAATTTTTGATGCCAGGAAAGCAATATAGATGGCAAAGTTGTAAAAAATATAAATGAAAAGAATCAGTATTTCCATGGGTCAAGGAAAAAAGAGGACAAATGCTGAGAAAAAAAAAAGTTAAAAATAAAAAATGGAAAAACATAAAATGGAAGGAAAAACAAAATGAAAATGAAAAAATAGATTAAAAAGACAAAACCCAATAAAAATAAAAAAGTAATAAGTGAATGTGATAAACTTACAGAAAGAATGCCAACCTCTCCCAAGTCTACATCATCTTCTGGAAGAGATATTTTGAAAATATAGTAAAGAAACTTCCTCCCCTCCTTCTCTCCCCATCCCCTAATCTGGAAAGTATATCTCCAGTTACAGAATAATAGTTTTTTTTTCTTAAAGATATCTCCAAAATGGAATACTAGTTTTTTCCTTGTTCTGATTCCAGCCAAAAAACTTAGCAGCAGCTTCCATATTATAGGATTTCTTCACTCCAAAATCCAGGGAAATTGCTGGGTAAAGGAAGAAAAGGTTTCATTTCCTTCTGCTACTGAACAACTTATACTTTTGAACTATCAGTTGCTGTAAATCAGGAAAAAAATTGATAACTTTTTAGCCTCCAGCTACAGAGAACTGCTTTGTTGATGCAATTGTAAAATAATACTAGTGGAGTCCTGTCCAGTATGGCAGAGGAAACAAATATGAGATTTAATTCTTAGCTTAATTTCTCATGAATACCAGTAAGACTGATCTTGGACAATGTTGTAGTGAATATTCTCAAATTATAAATTATTTCTCTGTCATTTGAGCCTGATCATCTTTGTTCCCTTTCAGAACCTCATCAAGATCTTTGACATGTTGCTTATATGTATTCTTGAACTGATTCATCATTTCCTCATAAGACTGAGTAATCCCTGTACATTGTTCTGGACTCCAAGGCATCCAGAGTTGCATAACTGTATCTACAGCATTTTTACATTCTTGAGAAAGAGATTTTAATGCAGCAGGCAGCTCCAAATTGGATACACTCTCCATCTCGGGCACCTGATGGATTCTGAACCTCTGAGGTTCTGCCACAGTTTCAACTGGAACATCAGCTGCTCCTTCATTAATTTTTGCTAGAAGCTGATCACTCTCACTTATTGTGAAAAATGGGGGGATTTCCTCCCTTGGTGTTTCACCTTGGGAAGAGCCATAATTCATTTACAAAATTATGAAAAGAAGAGACAATGAAAGTACTTCTCTCACCAGTTTCATTCTAAAGCAGTCCAAAATAAGCAGGTAGCTTCTCAAAATGTTGGGAAACTGAGATGATGAATCAGAATGCCTTCATTGGTGGCCTGGAAGAAGTAAGACTTTCTGCCCAGACACAATGACATGCATTCTAATGCTAGGGGCCATTAAAACAAAACAAAACGTTTTCCATCTCCTATCTTGGGATAATATTTCATGCAAGGTCCAAATCAAAGTCTGATTTTTGAAATCAAACTGAATTGTTGAGTTGATACAGTTTGGATTTTCAAACTGTTTCAGAAAAATACATATCTATACAAGTGCAGAAATGTTCAAAATCATACAAATCACTTTGGAGGCATCTATTTGAGGATTTGAATCAACTCTGGTTTGATTTGAAGAATTCATTCCATTCAGAGATTCAGTCCAATTAAATTAAAAGCCAGACAAGACTTGTAGTATCTTCAATTCAGAGAATTTTATGGTCCCCGAATATCATTTTCTATTTTAATCTCAGTTGCTTTCATATTTTTTTTTCTTATTAGAGAAGGTCCATTAAAGATGAAAAGATGAGGTGCATGTTTAACACCGTTTGGTAGTCAGTGGTGGAACCTAATAGATTTGGAAGCAGTTCTCATTATCTGTAGCCTTTTACGGTTCTCAGATATTCTGATACATTCTCTGTGAAATTGTCAAAATAATACATTTTAAATGTGTGTTTCGAAGAATGATCTAGTCAGAACTGTGCATGAGAGCAAATAGGTTTTTAAATCCATATTGAAATAAAATACATCCATAAAATGTATTTTACAGATGCCAATGTTACATGGGCTCGAAATTTATTTTCCCCCTCTACTTGTATTGTGAGCTTAGAGCTTCTGATTGACTTGTAGCTTAGGTGTATACATTTGCTTAGTCATAAGCATCTAAAGTCATAGTTCTGAAATTGATTGTGATAAAAAACAATAATAATTCCACAGTAACCTGGTAATCAAAATGGTTAAATAGAACCTCCATAATGCCTAAATAAATTAATTCAACATTTGTTTCCAAAAAGCCTCTCCTAGGTAAATCTTATTTACATAATGGTGAAAACTAGATTGCACTAGGTTGTAGTTGCCTTTTAATTATTGCCTGCACTATTTGGAGCTGGAGATAGTGCTCAAGAAGAGGGAGAAAAAGAAGTAGAAGCAAGGAGACCTACAGCAACCAAGCAGGAGGCCCAGATGATTTCTCTTCTGTTATAATCTCTGCCTTGAGTCTTGGACATATGCTAAAACCCAAGATTTTATTGAAGGTGGTAATAGAGTAAGTAACCATTTTAGCTAGAGTGAATATGCTGATTTTATTTAGACACCTTCCAGCTGCAGGACTGCAGTTCCAAAACTCCAGTACATCTTATGTTTCAAATTGGCACAATGCTACAGAATACTGCAGAATTGGTATTGTTTTTTCAGTGCTTCACGAAGGAAGATCTGAAGCAGAAAGGATGTTCCTTTCTTTTCTCTCCTAAGAGAGAAGTGTTTGATTGAACTCCATTGTGGAAATTCAGCTTCAGTGGGGCAGGCTGTGAGAACCATCTTTTTCCAGGGAATCCTTGGACGAAGGGTCCGCTAAGGAGGTTGTAAATTCTCCCTTCTTCCAGTTTGTAAAAGCATTTGCTTTCCTGTTTTTATATTGGAATGAAATTCTGGACTAGAAGGACTGTGATCTGATTCAGCAAAGGAATTCTCAGATTCCTACTGTTTTGCCTTGATAGGTACAAGTTTATAGAAATACCATATGTGTCTTCTTGTCTTTTCTCTGAAGGTCATGCAGTGAGGACTGGGTGATTGTGTGTCCTGGAGCTCTGTGTGTCATGATGAAACTGATTTGCAAACTCCACAATGAAGCTTACCCTGAGGTAAGTCTAAAAGTGACTGATGCCCATTAGAATTTTTCAATATAATGCAAGGGAGATGATACACTACACTACACTACACTACACTACACTACACTACACTACACTCGTTGCTTTCAAAATAAATAATTTTATGCAAAAAAAAAATAACGAAAGAAAATAAAAGCAGAAGAGAAAAGAAATCTAATTTATTCTATACCCACACCATTCACAGCTTCCTCTTTCATCTGTATTCATACTTTCTGACAAACATTCACTTTCACATTTCACTGATAATTATTTATTTAGTCAAATAAATTAATTAATATAACCACCCAACTACAAAGCAAAATACAAAATAATAAAGAGTATAATAATAAGATATACAAAGTATAATTTGTAACGCACTGAAAGTCTGGAGTTTGATGGTAAGAGAAGACAAGAACTACTTAATAATATCAGGCATGTCATGGACTGACATTTTTGCCCTAAGACTTCATCCTGATGCAAAGTTGTGAGCTTATTTGCTGATTTGTAATTGCATCTCTTGTATCCCTGACGGATTGTGGGACGGATGTGTAGGGAAATCAATCCATAACAGCTGGGGAAACAGAGACTACTTTCCTGTCACCATTAATTTTTTCACTAAAACCTTTTTTTACTGGAACGAACATCTCAGAAAACGGCACATTTTATTCAAAACAAGGCAATCTTATTATTGGCAGGACTGCTGTCATAATGTGAACAATCAATTCCTTGTACTCCATTATGGCTATATTGAATTTGTGAGGGCAATACTGATTTACTGAGCCAAGATCTTCACAGTGTCATTCTTCCCCTTAACCTTGCTTTTTTGCTGAAGCAAAATTATTATTATTAGGAAGAGCAATATTTAAGATACAAAAAGCATTACAGTCTACTTTAAAAATCTAGATGATGACACTTTCTCAATTGCTGGTGAATTAGAGGACCCAATCCATGAAAATCCTTCGTAAGCCCAATTGAAAGGAACAGGAAATGGTTCTGAATGGGTCTGTCCTTTTGGTAATTTTAGTTCATTAACTCAAACAGATCTGAGTTGGCTTGGTGACAGTCATCCATCAAGCCAAACATACGTAATAGATCACTGAGAAACCAGTGTGGCAGACGTTTAGATATCATTCCTATTTCTGTGGTTCCCAAGCAGGATAATGACTAAAACATGAGCTGACTTGCACTGCTGATCTTTGGTCGAACAGAGAAAAATGTACTTTACAATGACTTCTGCTTGGGTTGTAGGATATCTTTATAGTATATACGCCAGATATCCCGTAATGCCGCTGCTTTATTTTCAGACTTGTAATAATTTTAACATACATATTTACCAAAAATACCCCATTTATTAATGTTTTACATTACTTGATACATTTTTATTTATAAACTAAATAAATTCAAGTTGATTTTCTTCTTGTTAGTATGAAGAAACTGGCCATAAATATCACTTTTTCTTTAAAATATGTATTCAGTTAGTTTCTGCATGTTCTGTACTTTCCTAAGTTTTAAACTAGCAATTCTTTTTAACTGAAGTAAGTTACCAATTTTCCACTTAGCCCCCTCATGCTGTACCATCATAACCCCCTCACTGTACAGAAGGGAACAGGCTCTAGATCATGTTATGAAGCTGGATTAGTTTTAGTTCATCTAAATAATCCAGAATGAGTGAAGAATGTTAGAGGAATATAGACACAGTCAGTCATCCATTTATATTTCTCTGGTACATACAATTTGTCTCCTAACCACCATGCCCACTTCTCATTTGTCAAAGAGTCTTTATTTTTCCAGAACCATTCATATTTCTCCAAATTACAGTTCAATTTGTTTAACAAGCTTTCCTCTAGTTCTTTCCTTTGCTGTTTACTGTGGGATCTGGTGATGACTACCAACCTCGATTGATGGTCCGGAATGACGGCGGCCACCACCTCCTCTCGTTAGCTATTATGTTGTGGCATTCTAGAGAGCGCATCAGCCAGAAAGTTTTTCCCTCCTGGTATATACTTCAGAGTGAAGTTAAACTGACTGAAAAATTGAGCCCATCTGACTTGCTTTAGGGATAACTTCCTGGGGGACCTTAAAGCTTCCAGGTTTTTATGGTCAGTTCAGACCTCAAAAGGGTGAGGTGACCCCTCTAACAAATGCCTCCAAATTAGAAGCGCCGACTGCACTGCAAACGCCTCCTTCTCCCATACCAGCCAGCATCTCTCGGTTTCTGTAAACTTCCAAGAAATGTAAGCACAGGGTTGCAAGGCACCTCTCTCCACCTTTTGTAGGAAAACCGCTCCTGTAGCCACATCCGAAGCATCCACCTGTATTACAAAAGGCTTTTCAGGGTCGGGATGTTTGAGAATTGGCTCTGCCATAAACAATTTTTTCAACTGTTCAAATGCTGCCTGGCATTCTTAGTCCAATTTAGAGGTGCCCCCAGTTTTTGTGCTTTTGCTTTATCTTTTCCTTTTGTCTTCAACAACTCAGTTAGGGGCAGAGCCACCTGTGCAAAATTAAGGATGAATTGGCGGTAAAAATTTGCAAACCCTAAGAAACTTTGTAACTGCTGACGCGTTTTTGGCACCTCTCATCCAATTACATCCTGCACTTTAGCCAGATCCATTTCAGTCCCCTTTTTGGAAATGCGGTACCCCAGATAGTCAACTTGACTTTTATGGAATTCACATTTACAGAGCTTTGCATACAATTTGGCATCTAGCAACTTCTGTAATACTTTCCTCACCAAATCTACATGCTCTTCCATCGTTTCTGAATAAATCAGAATGTCATCCAAATACACCAAAACCCTCCGGTACAGAAATTCACGTAGCACATCAGTTATCAATTGCATAAACACCCCCGGCACGCCCAGTGAGCTGAACGGCATGACCCAATATCGGAAACAACCCAGAGGGCAGCTGAATGCAGTCTTCCATTCGTTCCCCTCCCTAATCCGCACCCGGAAATAGGTGTCCCTCAAGTCCAATTTTGTAAAAATCTTCCCCCTTGACGAGTGAGCTTACAAGCCTTTCATTAAAGGGAGAGGGTATTTGTTGTCTTTGCAAGTGGCATTTAAACCTCTATAGTCTATACACAGTCTTAACGAACCGTCCTTCTTTTCTCTAAACAAGACAGGAGCTGCCACCGGTGACTTCGCAGGTTGTATGAAACCCCTCGCCAGGTTTTTATCAATGAATTCTCTCAGTGCCTCTAGTTCCCTAGGAGTCATAGAATACGTCTTCAGCTTGGGGAACTTTGCCCCAGGTTCAATCTCAATGGCACAGTCCGTTGCCCTGTGGGGGGGGGGTAGCTGGTCTGACTCCATCTTGCTAAATATGGCTTCCAAATCCCTGTATTGCTCCAGGATCATCTCCCAGCACTCGGATGTGCCTTTCTGGGGTGTTCGTACACTTACAGCCACTAACGCTGCTGTCGGAGCCCCGACCTTGGTCTCTTTTAGAATAGTATAAGCCCCATCTTTGAAAACCATCCTACCCGACTCCCAGTCCACCTTTGGATTCCATCGCTTCAGCCAAGATAACCCCACTATTAAAGGGTGAGCTGCGATCGGTGTTACCAGACACTGCATAGTCTCTCAGTGAGTCTCCAATCGCATTTCAAAGTCCTCAGTACAGTGTTCCACGGCTCCCCCTGCTGGTGACCCATCCAACTGACTGAACACAATAGGGGTCTTTAGCCTCCGCATCCTCAGTCCAAGTCCATTCACAATGACTGGATTAATTAAGCAACGGGTGCACCCAGACTCTATTAACACGGTCAAATGTGCTTTACGGGTAGTTCTTAGGGCCCTCAATTTCACCCCCACAGTCATAGGACTCACCCCATCTTCTTCCTCCTCCGACTCGGGTTTCATCTCCTCATGCCACATTTCATCCGCCTGTCTTCTGGCATGCTCTGAGACAGGCAGAGTTTCCCACTGGCTGGCTTTCTTCCTCGGAGGAATTGCTCCCCATCACCACAGCACTTTGGAACTCAAACTCGCCTTCTGCCCCTGCCGCCGCGGTTCCTTTCTTTTCCGGCTTAGGACCCTTCGGAGACTAGCCGGGTGGTTTGCTTTTGGTAGTCACCCATTGGGTTTGGGCTTTGGGACAGTTTGCTGCAAAATGCCCCTGCTCTCTGCATTTGAAACACACTCGACCACCTGGCTGTTGATCGGGACCACCCTCCTTCAAATTTCCCTTAACTTCTTGGTCAACTGCCCCGATGAAATAGTGGGTATCTGCGGACTGGTATGGGGTCTTCTCACGGCCATCCAATTGGCTTCCGCCACAGCTGCATGGGTGATCCATTCCTCCACTGTCTTCGGATTACCTGTGGCCAACGCTAACTCCCACAACCTGGGTTTCAGCCACTTCTGGAAACAGCGCACTTTGAACTGTTCAGGCCAATCTTGGAGTTTTCCCGTGAGGCACCTGAACTCCAGCATGTAGTCCGACACCAAGCGATTTCCCTGCTTTACGTCTTCTATGGTGGTCTTCGCCTTCAGAACCACACAGGGATCCTCGAAACATCTATGTAGAGCCCGCATAAACTTGTTGAAGTTGGCAAGCTCTGGGGCTCAGGCTTCGTGTATTTCCACCAGCCACTCTGCTGCTTCACCCACCAAAGCATATGACACATAAGCCATACTCTACGCATCATTTGGGAACAGCTGCGTGCAGTTCTCCATGCAGATTTTCATGTGCGTTAGGAAGCTTGCCAGTTCATTGGGGTTCCTGCCGTATTTCATCTTGAGGCCCCAATCCTGGAGTGGGTCTCCTTGCTGCTGCACTTGGGGAACTGGAGGACCTCCCACTTCCTCATCACTGCATGCTGGTCCTCCGTGGCACTTGTCGCTATCCCCTGATTCTGAATGGGAATCTCTGAGCGGCTGGTCCTGGTCTTGGTTGCCCAATACGTTCCTCAGCAAGTTTCCCACTGACTTCAATTCTCCTCTCACTTCTCCTCAAGTGACATCCGCCTGTAACTTGTCCACAGTCCCCTCCAAGGTGACAACTCAGGCTTTCTCCACCTTGCCAATGGCCACGGACCATTGATCTTCGGGTTCCTTCTCCAAGAAGGAAACTTCCCGGAATTCCCCAGACTCTTGGGTCAGCTTCCACACCTGGCCTTGCCGCTGCTCTCTATCTGATACCAGCATCAGCCTCGTCACAGGTCTCGAGGGCATCTCCATCTCCTCCTCCACTCCACCACTGGCTCCAAATTTGACGATCTCTTCCTCCATCACAATTGAATTCTCGCCAGCCCCAGTCAAGTTGATACGTTGGAGTCTCCTCGTCAAGCTTTTGCTTCGGGTAGAATCCAAAAGAGGAGTTTCAGCAAAATGTGATGAACTGCGATGCTCAATCCCCAATGAGTGTGACTCTTCTTGAAACTCAGATAAGTTCAAAGAAAAATTAATTTATTGAGAAGCAGTATATAGTCTCGAAAGCATTGCTGAAACTAAAAGCCTATGCGCACCAAACTCTACTTAATCCCTCCTTTCTCTTCACCACCCCCTTTCCATCCCATAGCCCTTGTACCTTTCACTGAGTCTCTCCTGGTCTCATGCTGGTGTGACCTTGGCGTTCCTGAGAAACAGATAACAGCCGATCTGTGCTTAATGGTTATTCCTGTAGCCCTTTCCCTCCCCTCTCCTACAATGGCAGAACCAAAGCAAGATAATTAGCAAAATGGTCAGTTGATTGTGTGGCTTCTGACAGTCGCTTTGTGTGGGATGGGCAGCTATATAAATGTGCTAAATAAATAAATAAATAAATAAATAAATAAATAAATAAATGTGCTAATATTAACCAAATATTAAATAGACAGCAGCTTTTTGCAACTCTAAAATTCTCCAGTAGAATTAGTGTGCAATAGAGATAATACATGAAGAGGCATCTAATATGGAGCAATGAATGATGCTAACATAAAGCACGCAATAGTAATCAGCATTTGGCAATTTTATATCTATTTATAAACTTATTTATTACCTGTGTGTTGTATCAAGCCAACACTGGGTTCTTACTTCATTTTTTAAATTTTTATTTAGAAAGCTGGACTCAGATTTCAGGATTTTAAATTATGAAAGTGACAGAATTTGGAATTTTGCTACAACACTGTTCTGTATTCATTATGACAACAGATTACTGATTGCCCTCATGCTACTAGCAAACCACTCATGCCTGTTCTTCTTGCCCCTTCCTTGTTTATTTTTTTTTTCCAGTTGTCGTGGGAAATCCAATATGCTGTAGCTGAGCATATTCAATCCTTGATGACCTTGGAGAAAAACCGCCAAGTGGCCTGTGGAGCCGGCCTGCTGGGCAGCATCATTGACTCCTGCCCAGAGGTTCTGCACAGTACAAGCAGCCCCCTGCACCTGCCTGTCGTTAGGCTCTTTGAGAAGCTTGCATCCCAGTCCATCCAACCTGATGCCTTAAGGTAATATACTGGCATAGGCTTTCACAGCCAGTATCTGTTGGGCATTGTTGGGCTTCAGGATTTTGGGACTCTGGTCTAGACAATAGGCAACTGTGCAGGGACTGACTGGGCTCCTGTCTTTATAGCTCCTGTCTGTACTGATCAATCAGAAGTCAGGACACCTGGTTATAAAGACAGGAGCCCAGTCAGTTCCTGCACAGTTGCCTGTGAGCCTCAGAAGCTGCTAGCCACAGTTGCCGGCAAGAACTCAGGGAATCTGTTGTCCAGACCACAGTCACTAACCTGTGAAGCCCAACACTGCCTGATCTTAAAGTAATCTTTGTGTCTTTTAGGGAACAGGGTTCCAGATTCTGGTAAGGATTGGTAGGAGAGGCAGAGAGGACCATCTGGGACATCTCATTTCAGCTAGGAGAAAAATTGCTGGATGTTCTCCCATAATTTCCCACTTGGGCTGTCCCTCAGGGATGCTTTCACCTTGGTTTTGACAGGACCTTTTTTTTTAACAGGACCTTCAGACAGGACCTTTTTTCATGCTGAGAAGAGCACCTGTTTGGTTATGATAGAGGCTGAGATAAATTTGTTTCCAGTATAAGGATAGGTGGAAACCTCAAGGAACTGTGGAGGAAAAGAAATGCTAACAACTCAACTTTTTGACTTGAAATAGGAAAGCACCTAGAGTGATAAATGGGAAGGAGTTAGGTGAGGGTAAACAGAACAGGATGGTGCCTTGAGAGAAGGGGACATCTGTCCAAAGGCTGAATGGGAAACTTTCACAGGCCATATTCAGTCTGCTAGCTGAAGATTTGTTGCAGAGCTATATTGTAGAGTTCACACTTTTAACTCAAAGTGTACACATTTAAAGTTTTTGTTGTTAAACTTGACCACTGTGGTAATAACAATACACCCATGTAGAGGCAGAGTGAAGACCATGGCTGCTGCTCCTTGCTCTTTCTGTTATTCTCATCTGCTCAAGTGAGTGGCAAGAATGGAATGAGTAGCAGCTTTTGGGCAGCATGGGAAAGGTTGCTAGTTGCTGCTACTCATACAATAGTTGCTGTTTCTTACTTTCTTTTTTTGACTGTGAAGTATTGGTAACAATATCACAGAGATGCAACTGGTAAGACTCTGAGGATCTGCTAAAACCAGTAATAGCATCTTTAAAAAATCCTGTACTTAAGAATGAGCAAGTGAAACTGATAGTCGTAGGCTTGGGGAACGTGCGGCTAAGGCTTTGAGGCAATACTAAGACCTTCCTTTTTCTCCTTTCAGCCCTCATGCCATGCATGTACTGTGTAGATGCCTCATCCAGGGGTTCCTATTGCGTTTGTTGTGTGACATTTGTCCCTTGGTTGGTATCTTTCAGACAATTTCTTTGCCTCAGAATGATGTCACTTCCCATAGCTCCCAGATTCCATGTAAACCTCTCCCTGGCATCTCTAAGTGATAAAGAGGAATTGGACCAAGTTCAGAGGAGGACAATCAAGAAGGTCAAGGATCTGGAAACCAAACCCTATGAAGAACAGCTAAAAGGTCTGTTTAGTCTACAAAAAAGATGACTGAAGAGATATATGATAGCAGTCTTCAAATATATGAAGAACTGTCACACAGAAGAAGGAGTGGACTTATTCTCTATTGCCCTAGAGGGCAGGAGCAAAATCAGTACAGGTAGTCCTCGCTTAACGTCCATTCATTCAGCGACCATTCAAAGTTATGATGGCGCTAAACGAAGGGACTTACAACTGGTTCTTGAAGTTCTGGCCGTTGCAGCGCCTCCACAGTCATGTGAACAAAATTCGGGCCCACCCGCATTTACAACTGCCTTTTGGCCACCTGCCTACCTGCTGTCACCTGCTACCCTGCTGCCTGGCCCTGCCCCCCACCACGTCTGCTGCACTGCATGCCCATTGTACTATGCACCTGTGATACTGCCCGGGGCCTTCTTTTGTGCCAGCGCAGTCGGGGTCTTTTGCGAAAAAAGGCCCTGGGCAGGGCATGAACAGAGACCCTGGGTGCGGCGCAAGAGAAGCCCTGGCTGCCCCGGTGTGAAAGAAGGTGGTGCAAAAGAAGGCCCTGGCTGGTACAGTAGTTGCATGCAGTGTGGCAGCTGCAACAGGCAGGTCTGGGCAATGGGGCAGCTGGCGGCAGTGGGTAGGCAGGCGGCCAAAAGGGCAGAGATGGGGGGAGATAGGCGGGTGGAGGGAGTTGAAGAGAGGCAATTCCTTACCTTACTGAGGCATGGGGTTGGAGGGACCTAGCTGGGAATGGCTTGGATCGGGGTGGGTCCTCGCCTAACTGCTGGTGAGATTTGGTTAATGAAGGCGACAGGGACTGCTGGGATTGCCATCGCTAAGCGATGTGATCACATGACATAGCACTTTATGACCGCATTTCTTAGCAACTGGAATTCCTGTCCCAATTACCATTGTTAACAGAAGACTGCCTGTAGGCTAAAACTACAAGGAAGGAGAATCAGGCTAGATATCAGGAGGAACTTCCTGATTGTATGCATTGTCAGCCAGTGGAACATTGTGTCATGTATTATAGCAATAACAATAACAGTAACAATAATATTATAATTTATTAAACTTGTGTGCTGCCTGATTTCCAACAGTGTCTGGGCAAGCATGACAGACCAGGCGGAATGAAGTGGGCGGTCTCCCTCTCCCTTGGCAAAGGCCTGGATGAAGAGCCTGGTCTTTACCACTCTTCTGAACAACAGTAAAATGGGGGCCATCCAGATCTTGGGGGAACCTCATTCCAGAGGACAGGCATTACTAACATTGTTTAATTGAAGGAACCTGGAGTGGGCCAACCCTGCAAGATCACAGTGGTTGGGCAGATACCGTGGACAGGCAGTCTCTCAAGAACCAGCCCCTATGCCATAGTGAGTTCTTCATTCGAGGTTTTCAAACTGGATGGTCACGTGCCAGAGATTTTCTAGTAGGACTAGATGGCCTCTCAGGGTCCTTCCAACCCTATGATTCTCTGAAGGTGAGACTTGTTGAATATAGGCCACTGTATGGAACAGCAGTCTGGTGAAAGCCACTGGTTTCCTGAATGTCTTTTGTCAGTAGTAGTGTTCTCTCCCCTTAGTGGAGTAGCAGTATTAGAGAAATGGCATTTGGGCTAATATTTTAAGTACTTCTCTTTTTACTTCCTAAGTAAAAAGCTGAGATGTAGTGAAACACACATTTTTCCCTAATCTAGGTAGCATTCTGGTGGAGCAGCCAGAGTTTGAGCAGAGTAGTTTTTCTCTGTGGATATTCTGATCATCAGTGGCTAGAATGTTGCTCCAAGGTCAAGGACAAAAGATGGCTGGTGGATCTATGTGGCTGGCTACTGTAGGAAAGAGGATCCTGGAATAGATGAACTTTTGGTTTGCTCCATCCTGGTGATGTTATGTTCTCAGATGACATTATTTTTGAAACTAAAATGCCAATTAGTGATTGAGCAATCACATTTGGGTTTGAATTCAGAGTTACTGTTTCATTTTCGATTTGCTCCTATTTCTTTCTGGTTGACATTATCCTATTTGACTCACAATTATGAAATGCTTTGTTGGTGTTTCTATAGTTACCTCTCTCCTTTCTACTGTATCTCTCAAAGTTCCCAATTTGAATCCTACGGTAGTGTCACTAACTTTGTATGTTTCCTGCATTAGGTTCTAGAATAGCTGCATGGAATGACAGTGCAAAGCATCCTCAAACTTTGTTGGGCTCTGACACATCCAGGAGTTCTGCAATGGCTCTCCAAACAGCCATGAGTCTCATTTCCTTGACAACTCCACGTAGCCTCCATCTGCAGACCTCCTGCCTGGCACCTTCATTTGTGGAATTTGACATGTCCCTTGAAGGATATGGGTACCATATTGATTTGTGCTTCTCCTTGCATTCCTTATCTCAGCCTTGAGGTTCTCCGCCTTCAGCTCCATATACTGTAGTTTAGTTCAATTTGTGGATAGTTCCAAAATCAAGTCATGTTGCTCGTGTTCATGTGTCTGATGCTTTGTCACCTGAGGGGATATTGCCCATTTAAAGGATAAATTAGATAATGGATCTAGTTCACAGCAAGTTTCTCATTTCCCCTTTCTGTTATTGTTGATAGTTTTGCAGTGCGTAATGGAAAATGTGCACAGAAATATCCCTGCTGAGAGGAGCCTCCTCTAGCAGCACTGGCCCTAAGGAGTTTGGTGCCATCTGAATTGCTCTGTCCAGGCCTCTTTGCTTTGGTAAAGACACTCGTGTCACCTCAAAGGCCCAAATCACTTCATCTAAGGGATTATCATCACTTCATACTGGCTGAATAGATAGGAGCACATGGATTGGTATAAATCAATGCATGTTAGTGTCTGCTTTGCATGGTGCAGGATTGTCCAAAACCACCCGCACTGTAGGATCCCCCTAGGTGCGGGCTTTTGGGTGTGCTGCTTACCTCCTCCATGGCACTTTTGGTGAGTGCTATGAATGTGCTGCTTGGTTTCTCCTGACTGCTGCTGTTACCATATCTGGTTCAAAGGAAGCTCCAGGTTGGGTGCTTTGGCCAGTGCTTCAGGATCGCCCATAGCACGCTGAAGGTACCTTGTCTGGGCTGTGAGAAGCTCTCCTCAGTCTACTTTCATAGTACTATCTCTGGGGGGAAAGGCTGAGGGGGGCTTTGAAGTAGCAAAGCAACATAGTCTCTTTACTTCCCATAAAAAAACACATCTCTGCTTTGAGAAGTAACTTTGGGTATTTCATTTAAAGCTTCACACAGCACTGCTATCTGTGAAATTGTGAAATAAAGAACTTCCACTGTTCAAAAGATCTATGTTATATTTCTATTGAGTAATCATAGGCCAATGTTTCTCAATAACTTTAAGAGGAGTGGATTTCAACTCCCAGAATTTCCCAGCCAGCAAGTCTACTCCTCTTAAAGTTGCCAAGGTTGAGAAACACTGTCATAGACACTACATAATGGAAGGGGGTGGATTCAAGAGACACTGGTTTGAGATGGGCGGCTATATAAATTGAATGAATGAATGAATAAAGTGAAAAGTAAGTGGGAGAGATATATTTTGCTTTCTGTTGGGAAAGCTTGTTGTCATTTATCTCTGTCTCTATTCATTTATAAAGAGATACACCTATTACTGTGTTTTTTCTCATGTTTGCAGCTGTTTGTTTATCCCAAGCTTGGCTACTATTCTGGGCCAAAGTACTGAATACTCTGTCTTGGGAGGAACTGGAAAAGGTAGGTTTTAGAATGCTGTCTTCAAAATGCTGGTCATCATGTTATGGATAATATTGTGTATATGGCTCAAATGTTTGGAGGTTTCTGGCCTATGTTATATATTATCACATTATTTATTTATTTATAATAAGATTATTTATATATATTATATGTTATATATATATATTATTCATATTTAATATATATTATTCATATTTAATATATATTTATATGCACACACACATACATGTGTGTGTGTGTGTGTATAATATATGTGTGTGCATCTCTGTGTGTATATATATGTGTCTAAGTTGTTCAACAATTCTTATTGAGATTTTGAGATCATCCCAGAGGAGAAGGGATGGGATCAGCAGTTACCTTTGAAGATAATTCCCTCTTGTTCAAGAAAGGCTGGACTTGAAAGCTTTACTAATGCATTGGGGAGTTTGTTTTCAATTCAAGACTTTGAAATGCTTAATTTTCATATAGTTAGAATAAACTGGATCTATCCATCATACACTTTTTTCTTCCTGTGCCAAATTTGAAGTTGTACTTTCTGTAAACTCAGTATTTCTAAGGGACTCTGTTTCATTGTGTCTTGTCCCACATAGCTTGGGAAAATATGTCTTTGTTGTTCTTAGCAGTCTCTGATTTATAACTTCCTCTGTACTTCTAGGCACCAGGCGGTTCCCTCCACTGGGTGGCCTGACTTTTTCCTCCTGGTTTCTGATCAGCAAGATGAGTTCTGTTCATGATTATCACCCGCTACGTTTCCTTACCTTGATGCGTCACATGGCAAGAACTGAAGAAATATTTGTTTGCTTTTCAGTGAGGTTTTCCCCCACAGAAGGTTGCCTCACCATCTCTACCGAAGAAGTGGCATTTGAAGCCTTAGGTAAGAATCTTAGAGCCAGAGGCTTGAAGACTTGAAATGTAGAAAACTTAAAAACCATAGTCTTGATGGAAGAATTGCCAGCCCTTCTCTCTAATTAGGCTTTGCTTTCAAAGTTCTAAATGTAAAGGAATTCTGAGCACTAATAAGGAGTCTGCTGTAGAAATACAGCCCAAACCTAAAAATATTGCTTAAAAGATGTCCACATCCCTGGTTGAAAAGGTGATCTAATCTCCTTTTTGGGAGAGAGTGGAAAGGAAATGCAGTTTCTGAGGGAATAGGGTCCATTGCTTGAGACGAGGCTGTCTTCCCCGCAAACAGGAATCTAAAAGTAAATGGCATATTGAAAAAGCCTGGAGATACTTGAAAGATTAAAAGCAAATCCCATGATTGCCATTTGTGGCTTCCCCGTTGACTTTGCTTGTTGGAAGCTGCAGCAATGGTTGCAAATGGTGATTGTGTGTGACCACAGGACTCTGCAACCATCGTAATTGTGAGCCAGTTGCCAAGTGCCCAAATTGTGATCCCGTGACTGCAGCGATGCTGCAACGGCTGCAACTATGAGGACTGGTCGTAAGTCTCCTTGTTCAGCACTGGCGTAACTTTGAATAATTGCTGAATGAGGGACTACCTGTACAGTGTGTGTGTGTGTGAGTTATAATATTTGTATTTGTAATTATTAACCACTTTGTGTGTTTTTTAAGTGTAAAAGCAGGATAAAAATGCTATAAAACCTTTAAATAAATAAATATTGTTGCAGTTACTGAGAAATCTGACATTTATTGTTTCATGCCACATGTTAAAGAGATTTTCCTTAACTATCTGACTTTGCCGTTGTTGTGGCTTGCAATTCTTTGGGGTTGTCCTTGGTTGTGTACTAACTACTAGTTAGTCAGTAAAACTAATCTTGAAAAGCTGTTGACAAATTAAAAAATAGCTCTCCAGTGTTCATAGGGGAAAGAAAGAACAATTGCTAGAGACAGAGCTCCATTACCATCTCGCCCCAATTCTTTTTCCCTGACCTTGCTAGTGAAGCCTTTTCCTTTCGCTTCATTATAACATGGTAAATTATTCCCTTTCTTGTGACAACATAGACAGTATGGTACCTGAATTTGAGGATGAGACCTCTCTCCTGTCCCAAGTTCAATTCAGATGTGCTCCGCTGCTAGTGACCGGACAGTGGCATCATCTTGCTGTGACAGTGGCAAAGGAGACAAAGCAGATCTGTACCGTTTCAGCCTATCTAAATAGCTGCCTGGTGGGCTCTGCGAAGGTAATACATTTGCAGAATGACACTCTGGAATACAGTCTTTGGCTTTCCCTGCTAGCTGGACTCTAGAATTCTGAGTCTCTGTTTTCGGCAGCTCTATTTCATTATAAAGATCAGGAAAGAAGGGTGGTTAACTTGATTACTTTTCATGCCAAAACATTTCTTTTCAGGCTGTCTTTTATAGAGGGGAGGGAGATTCAAGAAAATTATCATTTAGGAAATAAAGTCTATAGTATACTGTAGAAGTCGGCATACTTCAGACTTGCAGTGAATTTCAGTGCTAAAGCTATGCTATAGAGCCTTGATTATGGATTTAGAGTAACTTGGTTTAATTAAGGACACAGGAATACTGGACATAATAGAAATTTGATGGAATAGAAAAAATATAGTAGAAAGGTATACTGGAAAAACAAGGTAGGCATACAGGGGTACTCATTCTGAATGTCATAGAGGACATAGTGTCAAATTAACCTTCATTTAATAGCTTTGAATGACAATGCTGGATCACAAAAATAATTTATTACTAGGAACACAGCATTGCTCCCCAAAGTAAAATGTTCTTGTTCTTGAGATAGTGAATAAAATCATGGACACAGCTAAAGAATAAAATTTTCTAATAATGGCTTGTTGCATTTACTCCTGCATTGACTGAATAAATGTGTATCTTTCGCAATAAAGTGATAAAGCATCAGGTTCCCTTAAATGACTGTCCCTTATAATAATCAAGGAACTCTGACTAGAAGATAGGCAACTTTGAATTTAATCCTAAATGTTGCTCAGGTCTTAATGAGTACGTAAACAGGGAAAACTAAGAGTAG